AAGTTTCTGCTCTTTGAACTTACCTCTCTGGCAATCAAGTCGGGGAAAGACTGAGAAAATTGCAGGAAGAGCTTATATATATTTCTTTCCTACTGGATCTTGGCATAAAAGAGGGATGGATGTGCATAAAAAAGTGATAGATTAACACTAATTTCTGTGTATAGGTAAGTCCACTTTTATAAAGTAAAATCACAGTGAAATGGCAGTCTCTTACATTACTTTTCAAAGTAGTAATCTATATATAGAATCATAGAATCATAGAATGGTTTGGGTTGGAAGGGACCTCAAAGATCATCTAGTTCCAATCCCCCTGCCATGGGCAGGGACACCTCCCACTAGAGCAGGTTGCTCAAAGCCCCATCCAGCCTGGCCTTGAACACCTCCAGGGATGGGGCATCCACAACTTCTCTGGGCAGAATGCTGTGAGATGCATGACCGGAGTTTCAGAATGTCTTACAGCTCCACTTCTAACTGCACTTGCTCGTCTTACCAACAACATTAAAAAAACCAAAACCAAACAAACCCAAAAGCCCCCATCCTTGGGGTGAATTTTCCCATTAAGTAGGAATCACAACATACACATAATTCAGCCAATCTGTGCTTTGTTTTCTAAACATTTAAGTAGCGATCATCACTGTGTCTCAAAGTATAGTACAGGCAAATTATAATCTCAGGGCTGTGATAAAATGTACCTGAATATTACCAAGCTTTTCACAGCAAGTTGCATCTTAATAATGTTTTGAGAGATTATCTAGAAGGTTTTAATGGTTCTCAGTGGTTAATTCTACGATGAAAAAAGACCTATGCTGAGAAAGCGTATGCCCAGCTTTTGCTAGTTTCAGTGGGTACACTGAATTTTAAGTACCTTTGGAAATCTGGATTCTTGTATCTAGACCAAAATGTCTAATAATGTATAGTGCCTCTGACTCTGGTCATGCCAGAGAGGCTTATGGGACCTGATTCTGTACTCAGAACCACCTGAGGGATCCAGTAAGAGTCAATATAGCAAAATATGTTTTCCATTTAGTTGTGATGGTTCCTTGCAGTAATTCTGTCCACATCTGAAAAATCTCAGATTCCTCCTGTCTGATCAAAATATCCATGGTCCCAAAAAAGATTGTAATGGTTGTGCTTCTGGTACTGTCAGATTATGGTTTGTGATAGCCTGAGACTTAAAAAGTTGCTCCAGCTAAATATTTCAAATTACTTTATACCATGTTTTGCAATCAGATATGTATTAATATGGTGCCAAGAGATTAAATAAATGAATATCCAGCAGTGGCTGCTACACAATAAAGTTGGAGAAGCCATAGCTGTTCATCGTATTGTATGCTGAACACAAACGTATTCATAAAGTAGTTGTATAATTAAGAAGAGCTACTTACTAGAAAGAACCAAAACACAGCTTTCAGCCTGAAGGTTGCCAGTTGGTGGGCCTGCCAGATGTGATGTCTCCTTCAGACTATTAGCCTCAGTGAAACTCGAGACTTTGTTAAAAGTCTGTTTATATATTTGAGTCCTTCCTCCGGAAATATTTGGAGAAGTCAAACAGGAAATATGGAAAACGTAAACTCTCCCTGCAGGACAAAAAAAAAACCAACTGTTTACAACTAAAACGTATACAGTCTACTTTACAGGTGCAGTAATGTGTTCTAGATGTCTCAATGGTTGGCTATGGGAGACAAAATATGTGCTGCAAAAAGTTTTATACTGATTCAGTGGCTCCGTTCAAATGTGCTGTGAGGAAAAGAAGGCAGAAGTGATATTAGAACTGCAGAGTGTTCAAGTTCTACTTGACTAAGTGTGTCTTTTGATACTAAATATATTAAAAATGTCTGTTTTGTTTTTTTTTTTCAGAAAAACCTCTGTTTATTTGAGGCTGAAATGGCATAAGGACGGTTTCGTAATTCATCTTTACACTGGTTCTATTTGAGAGGATTATGAAGAGAGTATTAACAGTAAATCAGGAAAGCAAATGTGAAAAACCCCCCTTGTTTTCTGTGGTTGTGTCATTGGGACAACCATTTAAAAGTGGCCAGTAGTGGCTGTCATTCAGTTCTTTCAAGTTTATGTATTTTTCTTTATAAAATTAATTTCCTGGCAATGTAAGATTCTTGCCATGTGTTCTCAGAGCACAGTTGAATGGTTAGAGTATCTCAGGTTTCTGTTAATTTTTATTTTATTAATTCCAATTAGTTGCCTTGTTTTGCTTCAATATGCTTATTTTTACAAGATACTTAGGAAATAGGGTGGAAGAGGAAGACACACCCAGCATATAAAGGACACTTAATGAAGGAGATAATATTGGGAACACTTTTAATATAAGGCCACCTGGAAGTTCTAAGCAGCACATGTGCAGACACACAGAGGACTCTAGATACACGAGTGAGTTCATGGAATATGGAATTGTAGAAGGTACACATACACTATACAGTCAAAACATCTGGGCCAGTGGTACTATTTGCATACAACTTAAAGAAGGTATAAGGTTCAGTTTTCTGGTAGAGTGAAGTCAGCATGGAGTGAATGAAAACAAAAAAATAATTAAGTTTATGCACCATAAACTGCATCTATGATACGTTTACAATGTATTTCAAATAAAATGGGACCCATATGCTGTTTTATAGACTTAAAACTCACACCAGGTGCAGAGGGACATCATAACTGCGCCATCTTCTATAGCACACCAGTCAAGACCCCTCATACACATCAGGGTATGTGATTTTAATAAGCTGAACACAGTTTGGGTTCTTGACTCAAAGGAAGATGAATGTGCATGAGGGTGTAGCCCTGTAGGTAATGCTGGAACATGCTCCTGAGCGTGATTCCCTTAAGCAGTCCCACTTCCCTTCCTTTGATTGCTGAGAGCAAATTGAAGCCCCCCTCACAGAAACAGCAGCACACAGGAAATACAATCAACATAATAACTGACAGCTGTTGCTCCGATGCCTGAAGACTTTGAAAACCATCTATTATTTAAAAGGAATCTTCAGGCCATTCTCTTCCTAATTTCTCTGGAAATGCACCACTCACAGCATGTAAGGCCTAGAATTAGCTCTCTCCCTTACTTGAGTACAAAATTAAGATTAAAACATAAACAGCAATTCTTTCTAGGCTTGGATGCTGCAGCTTTTCTACCCTCTCTCAGCCTGCAGACATAGGGAGCTATTGTCCAGTAAAGACACTTTTAAAGAGGTGACTGCAGCTTATTTCTCCCTATGTTGTACCATTCACAGAATTCCATCTAGCATGTATAAGAAATACCCAGCACATACCTCATTTTTGATCCTGTATGGACTTGCTCTGTGATTTCAGGATATATAAGTCCTAGTCCTGTTGAGCTAAAACATGTGTTTGGAACTTCTGGAACATGCTCACTTCTGACGAAAGGGTGTCTTTTGAGTCATGATCTAGATTGGGACTCAAAACATTGGAGGTTAAATATTTTTGCTGTTTCAGACAAGCTGCATAACTTTGAGAAAATAATTTATACCTCTGTTCCTAAAAGCATATAATTTGTAAAAGTGTGGGAAAACAGTATTTTCACAGCTGACAAAGCTATCAAATACAGTGCTGGCAGACACCACAGGAGAATGGATTTGTAACTGAGGAATCCTGTCCTGCAGAGCACTAAATAGTGTGCATAGTGGAACAAAACATTTTAAATAAAACTGCTCAGTCTATGGAAATAGAAGAGTTAACTCTTTGTACCATTTCAGCCTGGACCCTGTGGATCCAACTGTGTATAACTGAATCTTTTTCAGTTCCAGAAATGCTTGGAACCAAATCACTGTGTACAAATGGGATTAAATAATCAACAAATAAGTATACGTTCCTTCCCTCCGCCCCCTTTTTTCAATCCTCAGTGGTATTTTGGATGCTACAATGGATTTTTTTAGTACAAGATTCTATTGAGTTTTAATTGTTTAAAGTTGGGATGTTAGAAAAGCGCTCTGTTGCTATCAAGAAGCTTTTCTAAATGCCAAGTTGGGTATGGTCAGTCCTGATCTGAAATTACAGAATATTGGTTGCTGTAGCACTTTGGGAGGACAATCTAACCTTATTTCTCCAGAAATTCTAGACAGTGAAAGTTTCAGATGTGTCTAAAAAAGGAGACACAAAACAATACTAATTCTTCCTAGCAAAAGTTATAGGTTCTAATTCTGATTCAACAGTGCTTCTGCTTCACATTGACTTCTACTAGATATTTGCTGAGCCTGTTGACTTTCTCTTAAACCACTTGCTCTTTAAGGACATTTTAATATAAATACCTGGCATATTGCTATTATAGCAACGGAGAAAAGGAGGTTTGGGGAGTCATCAGAAGAAAGAGGTGCTTAACAGCACCTGAAGCTATTTGAGAGTTGCAGCTAATACCATACCTATAAAAAGCATGCCCTTGCCAGCTGAGACCATAAGAGTTTGGATTGTTGGAAACACTGCGATCTGTGAGCAAAGTGTTCTGTCAGCATAATGGAGAAGGCACAGGTTACTGACGTGACAGTTGTGCTTGTAAGTTACAGTACGATGTTGCTAAGTGCAAGGTGGTTCTCAGAGGAAGAAGGAAGAAAAGAATACAACACAGATGAGTGACCCCAGAGCCATTTAAGTCGGCTTTACTTGGCAATCTTATAAAATTTGAAGAAATTAAGTGGCAGTTTCCACTACTAGTGTAGTCTATTGCACTTAGTATTTTTCAAAGTTGTCCTCCTGCTTTTGCTGAGAAACAAGAATTTTGCTAACAAGGAACACTCGTCTGTTCTTTTTTCCCTCTCTAGCTTCATCTTACTTGATTTCTTTTCCAACCAAAGATAATTCAAAGTTCACACAGCTGTTTTCTGAGAATCATTATGGGGAAAATGGGACAAAACAAAATGTTGTTTGTTTTATCATTCCAAACAAACCACTTCAATGATCTCAGTGACACTGAAATATTAGAATAAAATGAAATGGAGTGCAAAGAGGCACAAGGGATATACACACGAAAAGTCAACAGAAAAGAAGCTTGAAAAAATTTATTTAAGGCTATCATTTAATATCCTTAAAGCTTAGCCTTTTTATAACAAAGGTTTTAAGAGGGATATTCACTTCTCAGGCATTTGTAACTGCCAGCCCCTTACAAATAACACATACAATTAGTGATTGAATCTTTTGTGTGTAGAAGTCAACTTTTTAGAAAAATAATTTTATCATTAAATATAAATGGAGTTACTCCAGTCCGAATAAATGAAAAAGGTGAAGATATGGAACTTTCATAGTCTTAAAGCTGTTAAGATAACCATCCCTTAGACAATAGGTTTTCCATTTATAAACCTCTGGCAACACTAAACTATAGTACAATTATTTCCTGGCATGCAAGGTGACATAGCTTTGTTACACCCAATGTAAATGACAGAATACAGATTTCAGAATCTCTTAATAACTGGCAGTTGATGCAATGAAGATCTTCATTTATCCCATTTTTATTCTGTGTTTTTACTGGTATTCCTCCAAAAGGTCCCTGGAAAAAAAAACAGTAGAAATTAGGATGTATTATAAATCTCCCAAGATGTATGAAATATGTGTGGAACATATTTTTCCTGTTTAAGAGTTAGCAGATGTTAGTTCCAGAGACCCCTCAATGCCTCTCTCTAATAACAACTTGAAAACAAGTATTCCTAAAGGAAAAGCTTTTGAATAGTTTCTAATAGATTATTTTCCTAAATTGTTTGTTTCAATGCTGAACTGCAAAGAAACACAAAAATATTAAAATGTTAATAAAAACTGTATTTTAACTATAACTTCTAAATTTTTTTGAGACAATATTGGTTGTTTCAGATTTTCAAGATCAACCAGTCATTTTGGGTGCTTCAGTAGTCAAGAGACTAAAAAGAATTAATTTTTACAGAGTGGACATCCAACATTTTAATACAACTAGCCATTCATGTGTCTTGAGTTGGCATTTTATTATTTTTGAAATACTTTGTTAATGTTAACAAATAATTCTTCAATATTAACCTGTTTGCAGAGTTCAGATAGAAGATGTTTCTTTTACAACAGCATTTGCCTATATACAGGCAAACTAAAGCAAGGTTCTTAAGTCGTTAGCTTTCAGGAGCTCAGATCACAGTACCCTACTACCTAATGACAAGCCACAATTTAAGGCAGTGTTTTATGTCATGGTCTTTAAAGAATAATCAATTCAGAGTAATTTTACTAACCAATATTTCTGATTTTATAATGCCCATGGAAATGAGAGTTTTATTTTTCAGTAATTCAATATGACCTCACTTCTGGTAACAATCAGTGGTGAAACTCCCATCAAGTTAAGTAGGAAACTATTAAATAGTTTCACCACTGATGCAAAATGCAAATTACATTTGGAATGAGTTCTGTTTAGTGTCTTATTCTTGTTCAGCACTGTCTGTAATAAAGTTTGTAATACAGTTACAGATATGTCAGTAGTTAAGAGAAAAATAAGCAGTATTTTCTGTATTTATGACAAATACATTTAAACCCCCAGTATATTAAGAATAAGACAATCAAAATTCAGGCACCTTTGGGTAACTTTGGTGTTAATCAGCCATTTTAGGAACTCTTTGGCAGCCATGTCATCAAGGACTTTGTTGATATCACTCGTGAAAGTGCCATCTGCATGTCTTCGGCCCATTTCTTCGGCCACAAGAGCTTTTTCTGGGAAACTTCAAAGGGAAAAAATTATCAAACAATTTGCAGATCAAAACAATTTAAAGGGCCTCATTAGAGGATTCTAATACACTACACATTTCCTGTGATTTTAAGGAGTTAAGAGTTGAGCCTTATGTTATGGCTCAGTACAGCAAGATATCAGAGTATCTTTTGAGGCATTATTTTAGCAACAGAATAAAGCATGTAAGTCTCCCTTTGCCAGATGAGGACTGTTCCTTCAGGTGAGTCTAAATTCCTCTCTAGAATTTTTTGAAAAAGCTGTACATGCAAAAACATATCTCAGTTTGCAGTGCCTATGCCAAATACACTAGGCATCACTAAAACACACAGTAGATTTACCAAGAATCAATATTTAAGAAATATCGCTACTAAAACATCATAGTCAAATCTTCATACTTTTTTTCCCATTTTAATTGGACTTAAGTCCTAGTTATATACTTACAATTATATTGCATAAGTATTTAGATATTAAGAGCAGCGACTTTTGTGGGGGGATTAAAATAACTCAATTACAACACCTGTATAAAATCTATGTGCTTGTTCGCTGTACATTATCTATTTGGAATCAGATCCTGATTCTTGCTCTATCGTTTTTTGACTGCTGGAAAACCATTATGCTAAGGGCCTGATTTAGAAAACTGTCCTTTCTTGTTTCATCTCATCAAATACAGGAAGATTTTAATGGGTTCCATTAAGGTGGGCTGCTGCTGAAGTACACTGTGTTCCAGGACCAGTGGCAGGGAGACTGGTTCTTTTCATGCAATAATTTCAGGGAAGGCTATATACAAGTTTAACCACAAATAGTACTAAATATTGGGAAGCAGAATGGTGGTCTACATTTACTTGTCCATCTAGGTTTCTAATCTCAGTTCATCACAGCTAGGTTGTAATCTTTCTCTCTTACATATACTGAAATACCCTATTTCTGCTCATGAAAATAAAAAACATGACAGAAAAACAACTGCAAGTCTGAACATTGCTATGAGGTGGCACCAGCCTTTCCCTTCTCTATATAGCTGACCTCATTTTTTAAACTCTGTTTTTTCAGGAAATCGTAATTATTTACAAAATTTACTTTTAAGTCTTCCTTGACTACAACACACAATCTTGTCTTACATATTATATTTTATTGTTATTTATTATTTTTATATAGTGCGAGAGACTTACATAGTACTTTACAGCTGGTAGAATATATAATCAGAGGATGCACTGAAATCCCTGCCCCGAAGAGCTTACAGTCAAAAGGCACAAATAAGTACAGAATGATTGAAAAGTGGGGTGTGGCATGTGCATGTTGTATCTCCTAACCATGCAGAGTTAGAAATAGGATGAGACAGAAGGTGCCTGCAGGAGGTAAGGTAAGGGCATTTTAAGTGCAAGACTATAATGAAAAAAAGATGCGAAGTCATGAATGAGTAGATGAAGTCAATAGGCTTGAGAAATCTGCAATGAGTATGTGGAGAACAAGATAGTAATGAAAGAAATCAGAGACATAGGTAGGTCAAAAGTGAGGAGCACTGCATCCAGCAAACTGTGAACCATTGCAAAAAAAGTAGAGGTGTTTTAAAAAGGAATCTAAGTCACAGTTATAGTTATTTTGACAGTAGCAACTTGAGGAGACTTTGTAGAGCATAGGAAGAAGGAAAGAAGTAAAGAAGTCATCAGTTACTGCTGGGAATGATCACCAGTGCATGGAGTACAGCTGATGACATTGGTAAAAACTTAATCTTGGAAAGATTGGAGACGAAAAGATTGACTGTGAAAGAGAAAAAAAAAGAAAGTAATTTAAGATGACACAGACTTGAATCATCTCAATGATAGTTAAGGAGACTGTAAGCAATGTTACGGGAAAGAGGAAAGGTGGTAGTTAGAGGAAGGTCTGATTTAGTTTTAGATATGTTGACCTTAACTATAGCTTGACCTTTTAGAGTGTAACAGCATACTGAACAGGTTTGTTTTAATCTGTATTTGAATGTAATAATTTAAAGTGGTAATCTAACATCCACAGAATACCTTCTATTACAAAAGAAAAACGTGAAGTACAGCAAGAATGATCAAAAACACATCAAGGCATTTCATCAGACTTGATTTCTAACTCCAAAAGCAAGGCAAAATTTAATAATAGGAATGGATGGATTCTTACTCTCTTCTTCCTCGTCCATTCACTAACCAAGCAATGAACTCTTTGGCAGCTTGACCTTCCAAATAAGAGGTGATATCACTGGTGTAGGTGCCTTCAGCATGTCTCTCGAATTCAGCATGACGCTTGGAGATCGCATTGCTGAAAGAAGAGCAATACTTCTAGGAGCAGACTGCATAAGGACTTACTTTTTTTTAACCTTTATTGATTTATATTTCCCACCCACCAGACTAGCATCTCTTTTTAGGGAGAGGGGTTTTTTTTCGCTTCTCAAATTACTCTTGGCATTTTTTTTTTCTTGATATCTCTCAGTTCTGAAGGCATTGTCTGTACTATGCAATACAATTTTGTGCAGAGATGCCTGAACTAGTTTTGGACAAATCAAATCAGGTGCTGAAAGCCAATACAGCTCCATTGGAATGGTCTTCTGATAGATTAATTAGCTACGGTCAACCAACTGTATTGTATTTTACAGACATATTTTTGTTACCTCTTGTGTTAACCTAAAAATTGCCATTTAGCCACTCCTTCTACCTTCACCTTCATTATTTCTTAGCCAAACTATTCAGATTCAATTCCTTTTGAATTTACATTTTGAATTGTTTTGTGAATGCCCTTTTAATTGTCCAGAATTAATTAATTCTGACCAACTGATAATCTTGGAACAATTTCAAAACTGATCACCTCCAGTTTAATAAAGAAAGACAATTGCCTTCGCCCTTTCTAAACCTCATTGTGCTTCTTTCTCTGATGTAGCACAAAATTATGTTACACTAACCCTTAAGAAGGCAAGCTGCACTGAGAAACAGATGTATTATGGAATATTTTCCATGAATAAGATCCCTAGCATTTCTATTTCAGAATTTGCTAATTTCTGCCCAATTTTCAGGGCCTCTAGCTCTTATATTATTTTTTATCTGCTTCGGATTTCACCATTCCTCCTCATTTAGTACCATCTGCACTTTTCATCAGCATGCTAACTGGAGTTTGGAACATTTTTAATGAAACATTAATTTTGTTGAGATATGCTGTTTCATTGAAGCTGAAACATTATTACAGGTTTGTTACTGATATTGACAGTGTTTTGATCAGAAGGATCTTTGTGATCTGGGCTGTCCTCTTTGGAATTTCTGACAAAAGAATGAATATAGGTATGTCAATCTGTTTTGCAGTAACACTTACTGGGGTCTTGTTTTATTTGTTTCAAATTTCCAACCCCTCCAATATCCCCCCAAACATTGTTAAGAAACAAAATTCTGGCCTCCGGCAGGTCTTCTTCTTTCCTGTAATGAGTGGTTTATGTAACGTGGGACTGAGGGCTGAGCATTGTATCGTGTTTTATCAGCACTCTACAAATTGGTGCCTAGTCATTTCCCTTTCATTAACCTTCTCCCTGGTTTTCTTTTCCTCATCATACGGGGTTTTTTTGCTTCAGCCTTTTTCTATACCAAGTTTTTCTTTTTATCTTATTCTCTACTCTTCTTTAACACTTGAAATGTCCTGTCCGGAATCTATTCTCATGCTGTTGCATTACTTGAATCCGTTGCACATAGCAATAGAACACAGGTGCAGGAATGAATAAATAACATCGAGACATTTCCTCTTTCCTTATAAAAAAGCAGGTGCAAGATAATTTCTTTTGATAGGTATTTCTTTGATTATGGTAACATTTTAAAGAATATCAGTTGTTTTCTTTCTTGTTTAATAGAAAATGAGCTTGAGCTGTTTTAGAGTGACAAGTTGTGACAACTAGAATACCTTGAGAGCTGGTCCGGGAATTTGTCACTTTCTTTGTCCTCCTGTCCTTGTTGGCTGTAGTGGAATTCCACAATCATTAGATCATTATTACCAGTACATTGCAGAGCATGCATAAGCTGATAAGATTTTATTGGTTATTATTTAAATATTATGATAAACGACCATGACTGATAGATGTATATTATAAATAATTTCACATGTAAGAATTTAAATTAATACAATATCTAGAAATTTTTACTTTACACTTTAAAGAGTTCCACAGGGATTTAAAAGCATTAATGTAATAGATTTTTGTATTCTGTGGACAGATCTTCTCTAGAGCTCAGGGCATAAACTTACACACTTTTACATTACTCCTGCTGTCAGCTTGGTAGCTTGTGTTTGATTTAATCAAAGTATGTTTTCAGAAAACATGCCAACTCATGCCTTAACAGTATACTGGTGATACTGGTAAAGTATCCAGTGGTGAAGAAAACTTAAACCTTAACTCCTTTTTCACAAATGAAACATTAGGACTAGAGTATGCATAGATAGGAGACTTTTATTAAGGGCTGATGATCTAGACATTTAAATTCTATTTACGTATCTTATTCCTATTGAACTTAATTAATTTACTGAAACAATCTGTACTAAAGAGGCTGAGATAGTCTGTTTAGATGGCATATCAGGTAATATACTACACTCAATTTATCCAAATCCTGTTGATTCATTTTGCACACATTCCTCATTTCTAATAAGATGTTAACATTTTATACAAATGTTCCTTTAGTAATTTACCTATTCGAGAATTATACACAGTCTGTGATGGGAAGCTGAAATCAAGAAACTGAATTTAGCTAGATTTTTGACTGTTTCTGTTTGAAATGTGAGCAAAATGCTTACCCATTTCTTTTAGTGCTCATTAACCATTGCACAAAGTCCTGAGCTCGTCTAGTGTCCAAGTACTTGCTGTAATCACTGGTGAATGTGCCTTGTGAGTGACGTTTAACTTCATTCAGCTGTCTGGATTCATCTAATGGTTCAGACTGGGAAGCTTTGAATGATCTGTGAAAAGTGTAGAACTTGTTAGTTGGCAGTGGTTAAAGTACATTCTACAGGTGCATTGACTTTTCTTTAAAAAATATTATTTTATACTCTCACAAAGTAAAAGCAAGTGGCGTATTGATCACTAGGTGGCTAGTAAAATGAATCAACATAACAGATTGGATACTGCACAATTACGAGGTCTTCTTGGATAACTAAGGCAGATATTTGTAATTCCAAAAACTTTTGTGCTATGTTTTGCAATATTAAAAACTTTTGCCAATTCCAATGGTAGATTAAGCACTGTGTAATAGTATATAAAAAAAACCCCCTATCTTTAAGTCATAATAAATTTTGCTTCAAACTGTAAGAAAAAATCTTCAGGCCAAGTGTTTCTAGAAGTTTGATCCAAAGAATTTACCTTGTTTTCTCCTCTGTATCCTGAAGAGGATTTTGCCAGCTGCCTTGAACTGTCATTAAAAGGAGCCCAGCCACGAAATAAACACTTTTCATTTTCATTGCCTGGAAAAAACAGAAATAAGGCAACAGATAAAAATGGAACCATCTTTACATATGTCTGAATCAATTACATCAAAAAGAGACATCCTTAATGCTGATCTAAACTTGAAGGTATTGAGACCCTGTGAGGATGAGGTCCATGTCCAGGAGATGGAGACTGTAGTGCCTTGGGTAGGCACGCAAAAGGCACAGCCTCTGTTCTAGAATGCAAGGTGAGCTGAGATCAACTGCAACCTCACATTCTTTTGTAATATGAAGATCAAGGTCTGTATCTCCTTTGCTCTGTGTTCTGCTGATGGAAAGCATTCGATCTCTTTCTGGCCCTCTATCTCCTTTTAAAAGTTGTGGTTTTTTTTTTTTTTTAATTTAAAATAACAGCTATTGCAGCACTAGGTCTCTGGACTTAAATAATGAGTTATGAATAGATGTGACTCCTTAGAAAAAAACAACCACCAAACCACACACTGGCTTGTGTTCAATTCATGATGTGATATGTCAAGTTTTGCTTGTGACACTATCGACATAATACTTTATTTCTTAATACTTTATTACTTAAGGGCTTCCATTATGGGGCTATATGGGATATACAAGATACGGGGTATATACCTCATATTAATGGTAATAAACCAAAGCAGAAAATATGGTCTCCCAGATGTAATTCTTACTGTTACAGGTCATCTGTTGGCTTCAACTATGTAACAGAAATGGATACATTATTAGATGTTTCTTCCTCATGCGCACTGTAGTAGCTTGACTAGTTTCACTGACTTTAATGTGAGATTATTCAGTGTAAACTAGAGTATTAAAATCTCTGCAAATGCTTTGGTGATCCACAGCCAAGCTGTGACTCCCTTACTTGCATTAGTCACTGTTTTACTCATGCAAGTAGTACAGTTTTAACTTCTAGTGAATAGTCACCAATGGGAATAAGGCATTCTCTAATTCCCTAATTATATGCGCTACAATTTTCATTTTCACATGTAGTATTATTAGTCTCTTGACACATGATCCCTATAGGACAAATTCTGTTGAACAAAGAAGTGCTATTCATTTTAAGCTCACAAAAACCCTGTGCAAAAGGGGCATTGAGCAGCTAATGGCTGATAAAGAGGAAATGTGAGGAATCTACTTAGGAAATCAACTAGTATATATAGTTTATTTTTAATTATTTTGGATAACTTAAATTTATGGAATGAATGCATAGGAAAGGAAATGAATTTAAAATTTGGTTAGATGCTTTTGACCTTGACAAAGAAATTGAATATGCCATTCATTCAGTGGCTAAATGCTCATTCATTGAATGATGAATAGTAAATGCTCATTCATCCCAACTTTAAAATCAGTATGGATCACAATATTAATCTCCTGTAAAGCAACACAAGTTGCAATGAATTCACATCAGCAAAATGTCCCTGGCAATAATTTCATCATGTACTTGGACTGATACTTGTGTATTTGAAAGAGCCCTTCTGCCATTGGAGACGCTTTCCTATGGAAGTTTATGTTACACTCTGAAAAACAAAGGAAGATGGGAAAGATGAATGCATTGAAATAAAATGGTAGGCGGCAAAATACACCCTCCCCACTAAATGTAATCTGCACCAACCTCCTCCAGCTCCACTGGAGGAGTTATTTATTGAAATTCAATTATTTATAAAATAAGGCAGCCTGGAGAAAGCCAGGTTAACCTAACAACATTCTTCATAACTGATAGGAATGATGGGTAGAGAACTGCAGATTACTTTGTTTTGAGATTTCGAGTTGGCTCTGCACTGAGCAGTGCAAATGGGGAGCTATATAAGCTTCTCTGAAAAAGTAAGCTCCTGCATCAAAAAACTTAGTGCTGTAGGACTTCCATTCTACCTCAGTAGTCTGCCCAGCAGATTTTTAAATGAAATCTGTTTCTTCCATTGATTATAAAATAATTTATTGTTGGAAGCTTGACTGTTGGCAGGCATTTTACCTATGGTTAGGAAGAACGTACTGCTTCTGGTACTTTGTGAGGCCTAATTCTTAAGAGAATTAATGAATAATATAAATATTTTACTAAAATAGCCCAGTGTCAGTATCAAAATGTTTAAGTCAATGAAATTCTTAATCAAACCCAGGAAAACAAATTGTTTAATACAAGATTTTCTGGTGGATTTTACTATTAAGCAATGGAGTTGATTTCCCTCTCCCTGCCAGAAGTGACTGCCAGTGTTGCTCATTTTTTCATCAGTGTGTATGGACACTCTGTTCTGCCTTCTGTGAAGTCCCGATATGTGAGATTTGATGCCTAAACTTGCAGATATCCTGCTATAGTAGCAAAAAATACTATAGTGGCCATGTAGTCAGTCCTGTTATAACCCTAGCTGTAGTATTGAACTCAGTGTTTGAGAGGGAGCTGTACTTTGGTGGTGCAACACTGACATCCACTGTTTATCCCAAAGAATGCATAATTTTACGTTTCATAGCCTTCCAACAATGGAACAAAAGCTCTGCCTATTCTTTGGCAGACAACTCTGCTCTGGTCACAAAAATGGGTTGATTGTAATGTAGTGACCCCCGTGCTAGCTGATATAGCTGTAAATGAGTTAACTTAGACACTAAATAATGTCTGGCTGTTGCACCATACATAAGTAAATTGGCTCTGCTTAATGGCATGCTAGCAGTTTGATACACTTTTATGTAGCCTGGAAAACTAAAGCAAAATATTTTTTAGCTGCCTGTAACTTTGTTAAACCGTGATACAGATTAGAAATAAAACTAACTCACTGAGGTGGAATGAAAGAAATAGTCTAGTTAATCCAGCCTCCTAATAGTAAGATCAGACACCAAAAGCTATTATTTAATATAAAAGTTATTAAAAATATTAGAAATTTTAAAGCCCATTGCAGTCAGTAAATAGACTTTCAGTTATTTCAGTATATCTTGGATCCAACTTTTATGCCTCAGTCCTATAGAGCTTTCAGATGTGAAAAATCCCTACTTTATGCCTTAAGAATATGTTTAAAGTTAAATGCATGTTTAGCTGCTTTCTAAATTTTTCCGAACCAAAATCTGGGGAGATTACTAAAAAGAAAGATGTATAAATGCAGTTTAAAAAAATTAATATAATTTTCAAGAGAACCCCTATTAATAAAATAAACATTTTCAAAAGCTATTAGGCTTCTGTCAATTATGTTCTTTTGAAAATTTAGAATCAGTTTTGTTTGTTTAACGTTTAGTACTTGCTACTGGTAACCCAAACTAGCAATAGCAGTTTTTCACAAGTTAAAGAAGCTACAGTTTTTAAAGAAAAAAATGCCTTTTTTTTTTTTTTTTGGAAATACAAACATGATTTGTAAAGAAAAAGAGATGATAGATAAAATAATATCCTTGGTTTAAAGATTGCTAATAAATTCATTTCCCAATCAGAAGAAAGTTTTTATTGCTCTACATTATTTAGGTCACCAGTAGGTACTGCTAAAACCCATGCAATCTGATTGTCAAGGTGCAGGAAAAGTAAGGCTAATCTTACACAGAAGATTTTTGTTCCTATGCATATTAGATTAATGGAAATGTTTTAATTTCTTTCTGATTGGAGATTAAAAACTTCACATATCTCAGTTTGAATCACCAGGAAGTATGTAACAAATACGTCTCTCAATCTTGGTCAGAAACCTATTTTAATATTATTTCTTGATCAACCTGATTTGCTAGCTTTTCCGATATATTTTACTGCAGATGCCTTTTGTACCCTAAGTACAATTTTAACTAGCTTAATTTCATTGAGTTTTCAAAAAAGAATCTTTCAAAAGTCAGATTTTTATCTATTTCCAGTTTAAAAATACAAATTATGGAGTTACAGTAGTAAAAAAGCCAATATTTTCATAAGAAAATGCATGAATGAATAAAATAGATTTCTACTGACATGAAACTGTTTGCAAATAGCAATTATTTCTAATTATAAATAAATTACTTTTTCAGATAGATATACTTTACATCTAATTTACCTACCATGCTATAATGCCTTGTGGAAAGTTCTGTAAACATAACGGTTCTAGTCAAAGCAATGGATGACTAAATTAAATTTTATACAGTAATCACAATTACTATTGAAAGACTTAAATTTTTACTTTTGTGCTATAAAATTTCAGTTTCAGAGCTTACAGTGATATGAAAATAATAGTTATTGAGACAAGCTGCTCTAAAAGTAGGGAGTGGCAATCTGTAGGGCAATGGAGTGACAATCTGTCTTAGACATTCTTAAATCAGTGTCTATATAAACCCACTTAATTTGTCTGCATGCTCCTAATTTAATCCCTGTTGATTCATATTTAGGTAGTATCTATAAGGATTGAATATTTTTAAACTTATGTTCATTAGATATCTCTAGAAAAGATACTAAAGGAGATAAAAATATAAGCATCAATAATTATCCATCTCACATTTAAGTTCTTACTACAATGCACGTCTTTTATGTTTTCATGGTTAATCTTCCTGCTTTCAATTGCTTCTGCAACCCAAACTGTTGATCTCCCTTTTTCGGATCATTCTCTGTTGAACTAATTCAATACATTAAAAGATTAAATGATTATGTTATTAACTCCAACCATCGATGAGTATAACCACAGAAGAAAACACCAATTTGCTGAAAGATCCTGCACCTCTATTGCAAACTTTGGGCAACACAGTTTAAATAATGCACTCAGCTTTCTCAAACAAATTGTATTGGTAGTTCATAGAAATCTTACCTTTTTATACTTTGAAGTGATACGTAGCAGTTGCAGAAAGAGCTGCTACTCTCTCTTCTGGAACTATGGCAAGCCTTGAGGATCCTGAGATCTGCCTAGCTGCCTCTTTTGCACAGACTTATATATATACTGTTCAGCTCTAGTAAGCATTACAAGAGTGCATCATTGCTGACAGTTTCCTTGTTCAACTTAAAAAAAAAAGTCATCATATTTGCTATTCATTTCATTTGATAATTTTACAAGCAATTTCACACATTCATTCTGCTTACTTTATGACATCAATGCTAACACGGATTTGCAAAAGGAGTGAGGTAGCAATGTCCAAAGAAGTAAATATCAAACAGAAGGGCATTAGGATGACAAACAGTGGGCTAAAGGTGCCTGGGATCAAGGCAGCAATTTCTCCAGATTCTGACTTGCCACATTTAACATTTAGTATTGAGCAAAACCCCGGTCCTGTTGACATCAATAGCATCAACTTCACTTACCGATTTTAAATGAAGGTTTATAAATTTAATATACTGTTAACAATAACCAGCACAACTCCCCCAAAGCCCTGGAATGATACTTCAAGTAATCTTGTGCCGGTATAATGAACGTGAAGAGATGTGAAGTACTGCACTGATGGCTACCCACTGTGCCACCACTATGTTCTGTTTTACCTCAAACCAGGACAAAAGCCTAGAACAGGTCAAATTTAACAAAAAGATCTGATTACCTGTAGATGTAAAATGCCAACTTCATAAATTCTACTGTACAAAAATTCATACTCAAGAACTGTATGCCAAACATTAATTATAAATAGAGTTTCACACTGCAGCTTACAGATTTATGCAAGATAAGCCTTTTGCTTGTGTCTCCATTCCCTACAAGGGAACCCCCCTCCCCCAAATTAAAACAGATTTGAGCTTTGTTACTGTTAGTGTTCTATGCAACTGTTGTCAAGGTCCTAAGCCATTCAGTAATAGGGGCAATTTCATAGCTGTGGTGGGTTAGGATCACCAAAACATTCAGCCATCTGGTGACCACAGGTAGGAGAGATTGACACAAAGCTCATCACTGGCCCTGGCAGCTGAAAAAACCTGCCAGTTGGGAATACGGGTCTTTTATCCTCTCTATAAAGCAACAAGTGAGATATCTCCCTTCAAGAAATTCCTGGAGAAGTTTTCCTTTACAGATTTTTTCATACATCATGACAACCCTTTGTAATATGCAGTAGGGCACCAAAAATTAAATATTTATTACATATGTAAGGTGCGAGGCAGTCCAGAAGAGACATTAAACATGAAGGACTCTACCTTGAGTTTCAGTTCTGCTCAGTAGAGGGAAGGGTCTGGAATCACAGTGGGTATCTCACCAAACATACGTGACAGCCTGTGCTCCAGTCTGGAGTGGCCCGTGGTCTAATCTGTGGCATAAAGTACACATATAACAGCAAACCCTCTTATTTCCCCTACCACTGCTTCATGAAGCCAGCAAAGAATCTTCCTCAATGAAATAGTTCTCTGCTGGCTGACAGC